GAGCCACTGTGAGCACTCCACCAATCAGCGCTACCTGCAGGGGCGAGCCAAGACGGGAAGAGACCGTTGGGTTATAAACAAACGCACGCCATCACTCTCTTGTTAATGTAGGGTAAGTGTTTATATACCTGCACTGTCTAAGTACATTGTTTGTATACCGTCACTGTCTAGGTACACTGTTTGTATACCTGCACTGTCTAGGTACATTGTTTGTATACTTGCACTGTCTAGGTACATTGTTTGTATACCTCCACTGTCTAGGTACATTGTTTGTATTCCTGCACTGTCTAGGTACATTGTTTGTATACTTGCACTATCTAGGTACATTGTTTGTATACCTGCACTGTCTAGGTACATTGTTTGTATACCTTCACTGTCTAGGTACATTGTTTTTATACCTGCACTGTCTAGGTACATTGTTTGTATACTTGCACTGTCTAGGTACATTGTTTGTATACTTGCACTGTCTAGGTACATTGTTTGTATACCTGCACTGTCTAGGTACACTGTTTGTATACCTGCACTGTCTAGGTACATTGTTTGTATACCTGCACTGTCTAGGTACATTGTTTGTATACTTGCACTGTCTAGGTACACTGTTTGTATACCTGCACTGTCTAGGTACATTGTTTGTATACTTGCACTGTCTGGGTACATTGTTTGTATACTTACTGTCTAGGTACATTGTTTGTATACCTTGCACTGTCTAGGTACATTGTTTGTATACCTGCACTGTCTAGGTACATTGTTTGTATCCCTGCACTGTCTAGGTACATTGTTTGTATCCCTGCACTGTCTAGGTACATTGTTTGTATACCTCCACTGTCTAGGTACATTGTTTGTATCCCTGCACTGTCTAGGTACACTGTTTGTATACCTCCACTGTCTTGGTACATTGTTTGTATCCCTGCACTGTCTAGGTACATTGTTTGTATACCTCCACTGTCTTGGTACATTGTTTGTATACCTGCACTGTCTAGGTACATTGTTTGTATACCTGCACTGTCTAGGTACATTGCTTGTATACCTGCACTGTCTAGGTACATTGTTTGTATACCTGCACTGTCTAGGTACATTGCTTGTATACCTACACTGTCTAGGTACATTGTTTGTATACCTACACTGTCTAGGTACATTGCTTGTATACCTTCACTGTCTAGGTACATTGTTTGTATACCTACACTGTCTAGGTACATTGTTTGTATACCTTCACTGTTTAGGTACATTGTTTGTATACCTGCACTGTCTAGGTACATTGTTTGTATACCTGCACTGTCTAGGTACATTGTTTGTATACCTTCACTGTTTAGGTACATTGTTTGTATACCTGCACTGTCTAGGTACATTGTTTGTATACCTACACTGTCTAGGTACATAGTTTGTATACCTTCACTGTTTAGGTACATTGTTTGTATACCTGCACTGTCTAGGTACATTGTTTGTATACCTGCACTGTCTAGGTACATTGTTTGTATACCTGCACTGTCTAGGTACATTGTTTGTATACCTGCACTATCTAGGTACATTGTTTGTATTCCTGCACTGTCTAGGTACATTGTTTGTATACCAGCACTGTCTAGGTACATTGTTTGTATACCTGCACTGTCTAGGTACATTGTTTGTATACCTGCACTGTCTAGGTACATTGTTTGTATACCTGCACTGTCTGGGTACATTGTTTGTATTCCTGCACTGTCTAGGTACATTGTTTGTATTCCTGCACTGTCTAGGTACATTGTTTGTATTCCTGCACTGTCTAGGTACATTGTTTGTATACCTGCACTGTCTAGGTACATTGTTTGTATACCTGTACTGTCTAGGTACATTGTTTGTATACCTGCACTGTCTGGGTACATTGTTTGTATACCTGCACTGTCTAGGTACATTGCTTGTGTATACATTGTTTGTATACCTGCACTGTCTAGGTACATCTAGGTACATTGTTTGTATACCTGCACTGTCTAGGAACATTGTTTGTATACCTGCACTGTCTAGGTACATTGTTTGTATATCTGCACTGTCTAGGAACATTGTTTGTATACCTGTACCAAGTCTAGGTACATTGTTTGTATACCTGCACTGTCTAGGTACATTGTTTGTATACCTGCACTGTCTAGGTACATTGTTTGTATCCCTGCACTGGCTAGGTACACTGTTTGTATACCTGCACTGTCTAGGTACATTGTTTGTATACCTGCACTGTCTAGGTACATTGTTTGTATACCTGCACTGTCTAGGTACATTGTTTGTATTCCTGCACTGTCTAGGTACATTGTTTGTATACCTGCACTGTCTAGGTACATTGTTTGTATACCAGCACACTCTAGGTACATTGTTTGTATACCTGCACTGTCTAGGTACATTGTGTGTATACCTGCACTGTCTAGGTACATTGTTTGTATACCTGCACTGTCTAGGTACATTGTTTGTATACCTGCACTGTCTAGGTACATTGCTTGTATACCTGCACTGTCTAGGTACATTGCTTGTATACCTGCACTGTTTAGGTACATTGTTTGTATACCTGCACTGTTTAGGTACATTGCTTGTATACCTGCACTGTCTAGGTACATTGTTTGTATACCTGCACTGTTTAGGTACATTGTTTGTATACCTGCACTGTCTAGGTACATTGCTTGTATACCTGCACTGTCTAGGTACATTGTTTGTATACCCGCACTGTCTAGGTACATTGTTTGTATACCCGCACTGTCTGCAAGTACATTGTTTGTATACCTGCACTGTTTAGGTACATTGTTTGTATATCTTGCACTGTCTAGGTACATTGTTTGTAAGGCCTGCACTGTCTAGGTACATTGTTTGTATACCTACACTGTCTAGGTACATTGTTTGTATACCTGTACTGTCTAGGTACATTGTTTGTATACCCACACTGTCTGGGTACATTGTTTGTATACCTGTACTGTCTAGGTACATTGTTTGTATACCTGTACTGTCTAGGTACATTGTTTGTATACCTACACTGTCTAGGTACATTGTTTGTATACCTACACTGTCTGGGTACATTGTCTGTATACCTGCACTGTCTAGGTACATTGTTTGTATACCACCGTTCAGGGCACATTGTTTGCATGTGGGCCTGCACCGTTCCAGTACACCGTTTGCATACCTGCACTGTCTAGGGCAATACTGTTTGGTATACCTGCACCGTCTAGGTACACGTTTGTATACCTGCACTGGTCTAGTACACTGCTTGGTATACCCGCAATCTAGGGTACATTGCTTGTATACCTGCACTGTCTAGGCACATCATTTGTATACCTGCACTGTCTA